TGGGATAACGCTGAGGGGATGGGTCTGTAATCGGGTCATTTGTATGTAAAGTAGCCCCGGAATGGCTCGGCTTTGGTTTCCAATTGCCCTGGCACTGCTTCGGGAAATGGCCCTTGTTGAATAGCTGGGAAAGGGAAGAAAGTGATGGAAAAGTCATTGAATCGTGGAATGGTTTGGGTGGGAAGGGTCCTTAAAGCCCATCCAGTCACACCTTCCATTAGTCCAGGTTGTTCCAGCCTGGCCTTGGACACTTCCAGGGATCCAGGGGCAGCCACAGCTTCTCTGCCCAACCTGTGCCAGGGCCTCCCAGGGAGGAATTCCTTCCAATATCTAATCCAAACCTTCCCTCTTTCAGTTTAAAACCATTCCCTTACTTTGTTGTTTTGTTGATTTTTTTTTCCTGTTTACATATTAGTTCACTCACTTCTGAAAAAATAAAATTACTTTAGAGTAGCTAAATAATAAAAATCTCCCCCATTCCAGGCACTTGTGTGAAGTTTTAGGATGGAGTGGTACAAATTGATTCCCTTTTCCCTGCCTCCCTTCACTGAGCCATTAACAGCTTCCCCCCTTGGTCCGTTTTTTGACCTGTAGTCAGAATTCTGGAAGGCAGGAGTGTGGCAGGTGGCTCTTGGAATTATGTTTTTTAAAAAGGGGTGGGGGGTATCGTGGTGGAAAAACCTGAAATGGCCCAAAGTTGTTCCGTGAGCCCTTTCCACGTGGGTACCTTCTGCTTCCTGGGGGTTTTCTTCAGCTTCCTGGCACTGAGTGTTGGAAGCTCCTCAGGGAAACTGAGAGGGGTTTGTCCTATAAATGGTTTGGGTGCACTGGTTGCAGCTCAATATATGGATTTTTGTGGTGCCCTGAATTAATTGGTAACTAAAACAGCCTTTTAAAGGGACACCCTGTGCATGCAGAGACAACTCTGATTCCTGCCTGGATTAATTCTCCATTGGATCAGTAGAAGAATATGGATTATCAACTGTGCCAATCACTGAAATACCTGTGTTTCCAAATAAATTGGACATGAAATGTGTTTCAGCCCTCAGGGGTAGGAATGTTTGTGGTGCCCAGACCTTGGGAAGCAGAGTTTTCTGCTCCTTATTCCAACGGATTGCTTTCCATCCCAGGGCAGGGGGAGTTGGATTGTGCAGGATTGGAAGGGTTGACTGCAGAAGAAAGCAAAAACTGGTGCTGGAGCTGACACTTTTCCTCTGGAATATCTTTTATAAAAAACGCTGTGTGTGCAGAGAGGGAATGGATGGGGCTGAGGCTTCCAGGGAGGGGAGAGGCTTCTGACCAAATTAGCTTCGAGCTGCCTGACACTTCTCTCCCAAAGTGTTGTCAGGAGGTGTTACTCGCTGTGCCTGAGAACTTTGCAAGATGAGTCTGCACATTTCCAACCAAAATACCCTGCTTTTTGTCTCTGGATCTCTGCATTAAATATGAAAGTGTCAGAGGATTTGGATTTCCTAGCTTGAATACGATGTGAAGCAAATAGTCTTTAGCACATTTTTCTTTGCTTTGATTCTGGTCTCGATGCAGGTGTGTTGAGAGGCTGACTTGGCCTAAAAACAGCTTATTTTGGGTAGGTAAAGCTGTTGATAAATTCACTTTTCCATTGTCCTTGCATGGAGTTAAAGCCAAGTTAAGGTGGTGAAATAACTTTCTCAGGAGTTGTAGCATCCCTTGTATGGTATAAATTCTAAGGAATGAAGCAGGGAACAGGTCCATTTAATCCTAAAGGTTGGTCTTCCAGGGGTCTGTATCCAGTGTGGAATTGCTCATTGGAGTTGGATAATTAAGGCAGATCAGCTTTGCATTGTGAGGGTGGTGCTCAGCCATGGGCATCTCCATCCCAAAAACTGGCACAGAACTGAACTCTCTTGCTAAGAGAGGACTTGGAGGTGGCAACAGAGGACTTACAGGTTAGGGAAAAACCAAACTGGTCCACAGGATCCAGGTGCTCTGGAATAGCAGTGGAATAAAAGGAGGCAGTTCTGTTGGGTGTCATCCCTGCCCATGGCAGGGCTTTGGAATGAGATGATCTCCGAGGTCCCTTCCGACCCAAACCATCTGGGATTCTGTAATATTGGTAAATACAGTTCAGATGGGTAAAAATAACATTCAGTATTGATCACTGTTTCCCTTAAGGCTTAACAAAAGTAATGTTTAGGAGCTGTTGATTTATTACCGTTGCTGAACTCTTTGTTTTAGTGGAGAAACTCCCAGAGAGAAAGTTTGGGAAGAACATGAAATCTGTGGTGTTTAGGGCTGAGAGGACATGGCAGGGAAGGTACCTCGCTCTGAGTTGGATTTTAAGCCTGGTTCTAAACACCTGGTTTTAAAAGCAGAGTATTTTTAGGTACCAGTGTTCCGGTTTTCAAGGAATTAGTGGGCAATAACTCTTTGCCAGGTGCTCCTTTTTATCCCCATGGCAGCACATTCTGTTTGCTGTCAGCACTGGTTCCTCTAAAGCTCTTTATTTTGTGGGAGACCTCTGGATCTGCACTACTGCAAGACAAAGTGCAAATTTAAAGTATGATCTGTCTTTCAAAACCGTAAGAAAAAGGTGAAGACTAGACCAAAAGGTGTGTTGTATACCAGGGAATAAATCTGTCTGTAAAAACATTGTCACGTTAATAATGCCATTTAAGTAGACTGACTTTCTTATAAAAATCTTCAGAGTTTGTTTAAACAGAATTGTTTCAGGAGTTAAAATTTATAATTTTTTTAACTTCACGTTCAGCACAAAGAGTCGAGGGTTTTCCCCCAGATTTTAAGATCTGTATAGTTTATCTGTCTCTTCTGGTGCTGTGCTGTTTGAGCAGTGACAGCAGCACTGTTGAAAGCTGGAATTTCTGTTTGAGAGCTGTGTTATGCTTGAAAGGTTTTTATAGTAAAGCCAGTACTAACACCTATTGTCACATTTGCCTTGGGAGCTCTTTGTGTTCTTACTACAGTGCTACAACAGCTGAGAAAATCTGAATTACTCATCGGGCTGTGGAGCCAAAGAGGTGTTTTGAGTTTTGCTTTCTGCGTCTTTCACTGCTTTTTCTGCAAGTTGAACCTTTATTTATCTGATTTTACAACGCTCTTCCCTGTGACTCTGCTGTCCCAAAACTTGTCAGAGTCACTGAGGAACCCTCAATCAACCAGTGGTTGTCGAGGAGGGGGAACTGCCCGTGGCACTTCTGGCCAAGTAGAATCAGTGGGAACAGGTTACTGGGGAAACTGGGGGATTGCAAGACATGGCCATGGAAAGCAGCAGCTCTGGGGACATGAGCTGAGAGCAGCCCAGTAACGAAACAAGTGCTGTTCAGCTGAATTACTCAGCACTGCAGAGCTCTCCAAGACACGTCGTGATGGTGGAGTGACAGATTTACTCAGTGTGTAGTAACCCCAGCAGATCACAGCAGCTCTTGGATTGCATGCTTGCCTTGATTCTAATAGCGTTCCCTTGGGAGCCTGCTGGATTGATTTAGTGTTGCTTCATCTGCTGCAGGAGATTCCCAAAGCTGCTCTTCCACTCGCTGATTGTCACGGCCCAATTCTGCAGGAATTGCATTCTTTGAGTCTCTGCAGATCTTAATATTTAAGAGGGGATGGTTGATTAAATATCATTTGCATGTTTTTTTCAAAGATGTGTTTCCCTTCACTACCCTTTTTTTTTTAAATACCTTTCTGTGGAAGAAATCCTGGTTTGGGGAGAATTTCCCAGGTGTGTAACACAGTGTCTGAGTGCCAGGCTGCACTGGAGTGTCAGTCCTGGCCTCTTGGAGTGTTAGGTTGTGCCAGAGGAGGATACAGGCTAACAAACCCTTTTTTTCCCCGTTTTTTGTGTTGTGTTTTGTTTTGTTTTTTTTTTTTTTCTCCAGCACTCAGCAGAGTGGGAATGGCTAGAGGATAACCTGCAGCCCCTGCAATAGGCAGGGTAAGGTTGCATAGAGCTGAGCTTCTGTTCCAAGCTGATGTTCTGCTGTGCCATCCTCCCTCCCCTCAGATTTTGGGGAAGAACAGTGAAAGCCTCATTCTCCTGCCAGGCTTCTCCTTCCACTGGTAGTTCATGTGCTGGGATGCTGCAGTTTGCTTGGTTTTATATTTGATTTACACTCAGGGAAAACTTGGTGCTCAACTTTGGTTCCAAAGGGCTATGTGGATTTAAGGTCTTGCCCTGTGAGGAATCCCACTCTTCCTCTTCACTGGACACACAGAAGCCATTTGGAGTCTTGGCATGAGGTGCTTTTGTGATGGTTTGAAGTTTAACAGGAGTATTCATGAAAAGCCTTTTAGGAGAGGAGTTACAGGTTGGCTGTGACTTGCAGCAGTTGATGGGCTTCACTGAGTTCACTGATGAAATTATGTGTGAAAAAGGCTTTGTGAAACACTGCATTTGTTGTGATCTTGATTTGACTTCAGGTGATTCTGTGGAATTAGTGATTTCTGTCCCATAAGAATAAAATGAGGTGATACCTGCTCAGGGAGTCTCTGCTTTTCAGGTGTTACTCTGTGAGAACTTCTAAAGAAAACAGCCCAGTAAGGATTGCTGGGTAGACAGGAATGATGGAGTTTGCTATTCTTTTGACTTTATAATCCTTTAAAGGCCTGATCTTGCATATGTTTTCTTTCTGGGAGGTTTGGGTGGGTTTGGCTTTTACCAGCCCTGATTTTCTACCATTATGTCATTTGAATGTTCGCCTTTTCCCCAGCCTGGTGGTGGAAGGTGTTGTCTGAACAAAGGGTTCTCTTCACCCAGTTGTAGTTCAACTCCTGCCTTCACTGCACCTCAGATTCCCATCAGTCAGGAACCCCAGGGAACACTGAATGATGGAGAGAAGCCCTGGGAGGTGCTGCTGTTCTCCAAAATCCAGCAGAGCCTCCTCTCCATTATCTGGGTGTCCCATAGAACACCAGGAATGCCGTAGGAGGAAGGATGACCATCTTTGTGTGGACTTCCCCGCACTGATAACTAAACAAACCCTCGTGTTTTCCTCCTGCAGGAACATCATCTGCAACGGGCTATCTCAGCACAGCAAGTGTTCAGAGAAAAGAAGGAGAGCATGGTTATCCCAGTCCCCGAGGCCGAGAGCAATGTCAACTACTACAACCGCCTGTACAAGGGAGAGTTCAAACAACCAAAGCAGTTCATTCACATCCAGCGTAAGTCACAAAACATTGGGCTTGTTGTGTCTGCCTGACCCCCCTAATTTAACCTGAGTAACCTTCAGGCAGGCTGAGCACAAAGTTGCTGTAGAATTAAGACTCACAAATGCAGGGGGGGTTTATGTGTGTAAATTCCAGTATCTTCTCAGGTTCTGGAAGGATTTAAGGTGAATTTTGAGGGTTTTCCTGCTGTGTTTGTTTTGGGCTCTGTGCTGATACTGTATGTCCATGGACAGCCTTATCCTGTCTGCTGGGCTTCCAGGATTGTTGATCCAACCTTTCTTCTGGTGTTGTTTTCCTTCCTAATCCCGAGAAGGAATAGCTGGACTAGCCTGGCTGCCTCCTAAGTGCTTGTACTGATGCAGGGAGTGGAAGAGAGGTTGTTTTGCTGTCAACTCCAAAGTTCTATATAGATGGAGACCAATAAAACAGAAGAGTTTTTATAATGAAATCACCTTCATTGTCTGCTCCTCATAGAACTCCTGCAGGTCAGGGCAGCTGTGCCAGCTCTGGAGTTGCTGTTCCCTGTAGCTTGGATCTGTTCTGAGCTGTGGGGGACAGTTATTTTTCTTGAGTTTGGATAAGAGTAAAGAATTCCCTTTAAGCAGGGAAATCTGAGCTTATTTTACAGCTGAAATGAAGTGTCATTCTGTATGAGTTCAGCTTGCTATGCCTTAAAAGATCTAATTAATGTCAACTTGTGGTCGCTGGATTAATGTAACACTTTTTTGGTTGATGTTCTGCTGACAAGTGACAGTCTCATAGTTCAGTTGTTCCTTGGCACACGAATCATGTTTGTACTTTGCAGCATGTGGTTCAGGGGCTTGTTTTGTGCCTTGGACTCCTCCCAGGAGTTATCTTTGTAGCAAAACTTTGGATTCAGTTATTGCATCCTTGCATCGTTTCCCACCAACGCAGTGGAGTGTCCAATTTATTCCATGTATTTACAAAACAGGAGATTTTTGGAAATAATGTACTCAGGGTCCCCTGGGACATGGTAGAGACCACAGTGGTGATGTGAGAAATGAGGTAAAGGCAATTAATTATTTCTCTCCTTAACAGAAGCAGCAAACCTGCAGGAAAGGCAGGGTGAACTAACTGAAATGAAGCTGCTGATTGAGGAACGTGCTTTATTCTGTTCTTTGTTGCACACTGCCAGAAACACTGTGAATACTGTTAATAAACATGTCTAAAAGTGTTAAATGTATTACACCAAAATGTTCTTTGTCTTGTTGAGACTCACAGTCTTTCTGGACAGAATTACAGGAGCTATTTGAGCTGAAGATAAATATCAGATACTGCTCCAAGATAATTTTTCCCACAGATGCTGGTTGGAGTAGGTGTGACACAAGGCAGCTTTATGCTGCATAAACTTCTTGGAAATTCTGCTTTAATGCTAAAAGCACAACAAGCCACAATACCCACTTGGGCCAGGGAAATGATGTAAACTGATGTCAGATGCCAGGAGGCCACATACTCTAATCCATCCCTACTGGTGGTTATTTCTGGCAACTTGTGTTTTGCTGTTCATCTGGTAGCCAAGGATTTGAATATTTTTTGCATTCTTTTATTTAGATCAGTGGTTCAAAGCAGAGAAAAATTAATTTCTTTTTAAAGCCTGGAATCTGTGACTTGTGATTAAGCCTGGTTTGGCCTCAGTAGCTCAGCTCAGTTGAGCTGAATGTAAAGCAGAAGCCTTGAACTATTCTAATTATTCCAGCATGCTTAATGATCTTCCAAGACTGTTTGTAGCTGCAGTAACGTGGAGATGGATTGTAAGTTATTGACACAGAGGGTGAGTTAGAGCACTTGTAGCTTGCTAGAGTTTACAGCTTAAGGGGGTGTAAGAAAAGAAGTGTCACTCATGGAAACAATAAAACAACCTTCAGTGAGGTGTGTGGGATGAACTGCAGTCACCCCTGAAAAGGTGAACTTTTTGGCAGAAGGCTTATCTTTCATTTTTTGGTGAGGTGAGCCCTCTGTATTTACCAGTTTCCAAGGCATCATTGCTGGTGTTGGCACATGCAGGGTGGAAGGAACGTGGTTTGCTGGGGAGGGAAGAAGGAAACTGCTTCTTTCAGTGGTAACTCGTGCCTGTGGCAGCTTAAAATGAGTGTGGAACCGCAGCCTTAATTTAGTTAGCTAAATGAAATTAGTTCATTTAGTTGAGCTAAACCCAATTCAGTGGAACTTAACTGAAAACCAAATTGCATTTGTGTAAGTTGGGATAAACTCAGTTCCCAAGGGAGCTCCAGTAAACAAAAGCAGGGCCCTGTGGCAGGTGCTGCTGTCAGGAGTGGCTGGAGGGGCAGGAGGTGTGAACTGGGAGGTTGGGTTTGCAACAGCAGTCAGCAAACCAGCATGTCCTGGGCATTCCTACAGGAAACTCTGTGCCTTGTGGAAACACAGAGTGTGGAGAAATGCAGATGTTCTGGAGGAGGAAGGCTGGGTTCATCAGGCAGTCACGGGAATCCGTCTGGTCCCTCACCAGTTCTTGCAGCTCCAGCCATTCCCACGGCACAGGCAGGAACAAGGGGGTGATGGATGATCCCATAAACCACCCAAGTCTTGTGGTGGCTTTTGAAGCCAGGGAGCAGCCACAGCTCCAGAGTGAAAAGTGGCTTTTCCTGGAACAGTTACAGGTCACTCAGTGCTTGGGGAAAGAAGAAAACACAACTGAGGATGTCACTGAAGTGTGCTTTGAGGAGCAGTGGCAGATGAACTCCAGGGAAGGAGGATGCTTCCCTGGGTGTCCAGAGCTGTGACAGGCCAGCTTGGGGTTGATTAACTCCAGAGGAGGAGTGGTAGCCTTGCATTTCCTGAGGGTCTTGCAGCTCCAGAGGCTGCTGAGCCTTTGTGCCTATCCTGTCTGCACGGGAACAGTGGGATCAGGTGCTGCTTCCATCACTTTAAGTGCCATTCACCTGCAGCCTCCCTGCAAAGCCCCTCTCTTTGGAAGGGAATCACACTGATAACTGCAGGTCCTGGCAAACAGCAAGAGAACGTTGCTGACAACAGGAAAGCATGGCTGGAAGGCTGGAAAAGTGGGGTATGTGACAAGGGCTACTGCTGTTCTCACAGTGGGGATGAGGTTTTGTTTAAGGAAATGAGACTGGATTTATTTGATGTCTGATGATCCTGGCAAGTACATGTTGGATACCTTTTATCTTGCCCTCTTGGTTGTTTGTCAAAATAACCTGAGGCAGAGAGAGGGGGTGACCTTCCTGCTTCCAGCTGAGGTGCACGTGGTGTCCCTGTAGGCAGTGCAGGAAGCTGCCTTCCCTCTTGGAGATGGAGCTCTCATCTTCCCACCCCTCATACTCAGAATGTGTTCCTGGGGTGGCTGGTCTTTTGAAGTGCTTGTTGATGGAATAGTTGGGCTTTTCCTGCTCTTTTAGCTGCTGTCAGTGTCTCCTGGTTGCCTCTCACCTGAGCCTGCTCTGGTTTTGTTCTGGAAGGGGGTTCAGGAAAGTGGATGGTTCAAGACCTTTCAATGCCTTTTCCCACGGTGGGAATGAAGGGAAGTTCGCTGGCACTGCTCACAAGTCATGGGTGAGCAGCATCACATCCTCTCTGCCCCAGGGATCCTCCTGCTCACCGATACTCTGGCTTAGAAAAGCATTTTGTACACAGGGGGGTTATTGAATTATCTACTAACAGGTCATGGGTTGACATCTTTCTGGTGTAAGGCCAACATCTGTCTGAGGGCAAACAAGCAGGGCCTTTGCTGGACTTTGTCACATCATCTCTGAGAAGAATACACCAGGTTTTGGGAGTAGAGGTACCTGCTTTCTTTCAGGAGAGCTCTCCTAAAATAATGGGAACATCAGGCCTATAAAATTCTGGCCACCTCCCTCGAGCAGAGTTGTTTGGATGTGATTTCCCAGTGCACCTGAGGGCTGCAGGAGTTTTGTAGGCTCTGGGGATGGTTTTGGGGCAGCAGAAACCGCTGCAGTTTCCTTCCTGGTGGAAGTGGCACTTTATGTTCTAAGAGGTCATGGAATTACAGGTTGTTAGGAGAGTGGAAGTTGGTACCAGGCATCATTCCCCAGGAGAAGTGGGAGCTGCCAAGGCTGACCTTGCCTGGGAGGGCTCTGAGGAGCTTTGCAACTCCAGTGAGTAACAGGAGGAGTCACATCCTCAGTGCACATTTAAAAAGGACCCCGCAGCAGAGGCTGGAGCAAAGCTCCCAGGAGCTGCAGATGATCCATAAAACCTGCTTTTGTTGAGCCCAGCACTGATTTTTGGCAGGCACTTGAGTGCTGTTTGGCTGCTGAGCTCCCTGAGCAGGGTGGCGTGGCAGTCACCCAGGTACCATAACAATCCCTCTTCTCTCAAGTGCATAATCCTGCCTGCTGATGCTTTTAGTGCTGTTTTACAGAACTAACGGTTCAACAAAAAAAAGCTGGGGCAGTTTTCTCTCCCAAGTTTTTGATTCCTGCCACTGGAGAGGCGGGATCTGATGTTCTCAGCTGCAGTTTGAGATCCAGTTAATTGGTGGAGAGCTGTGGGTCACGTGCCCAGTGACAGTGTCTAAAATAAACTTGTATTATTGAATTAATAATATTAATAATTCCACTTAATTCATAGTTACAGCCCATTGCTATTAAATTATTCTCAAATAAACTGTTACAGTGTGTGTTAAACCAGAGAACACTCTGAACAAGTGATGTCAGAGTTGGTTCAGTTGGGCAGTGTCTCCTCTGAGGTGCCAGTTTGAGCTGAAGGTGGTGAGGAGCTGCTTTTTAGCTGCATCTGCCTGAGTTTTCATGCACAACCAAACAGATAAATACTGCTTTAGCTCATTTATTGCATGGTGTTACAGAGAGGGTGGTCTTGGGCTGGGCTGAGATGTGGGAAGAATATCCTTATCACCTGACCCTGGGAGAGAAAATGCTGTAATTTGCTTTAGAGATGTTTTTTAGTGGTTTTCTTCTGCTCCTGGTCTTCCAGGCTTTTGTTTTAAGGTTCAGCTCAGTGGCAGAGGCTTTGTGAAGTCAGCACTTTGGGATAGCCACGAGTTCAAAGCATAAAGATAAGATAGTGCTGTTTGTCTAATAAGAATGGAATATATTTCAACAAACACTGCCTGTTGTCAATGCTGTAAAGTGCTGATTGAATTACTGGGAAGGTGGTAGCTGGTGTGTCACCCCCTCAAGGTTTTATTAGGTACAATGAATGTTTCCTATTAAGAGTTCTTATAGTTTGTTTGTATTTATTGTAAAATTTCATTTCTGCTGTGTTTATGTTGAATGGTAACTTCCTTCTGTTTTTAGTGGGACCAGGAGTGTTGTCCAGTATGGAAAATCATTAGCACAGCTTGTAATAAAGAGATGGGTTTTGCTGAAGAGTTGAGAACAATATTTGGGGAGTGGAGGAATAGTCAGGCTCTACATCTAGAGCTGATTTCAGTCTGTTAAATATTTCGAGGCTCTGGGTTTGTTAAACAACTTAAAAACGGGCAACTGAAACGATATTGGAACTTCAGTGTAAGTGCTTTTAGCAAGTCTGGAATTGGATTGAAAATGATCTGCATTGTTAATAATCTCATTCTGAAGGAGCTGTGTTATAACAGCATCAAGAAGCATCTTTGCCTTTGTTTTGCAAAGATACAATAAAGTTTCTCTGCCTCTGGTCATTTTTCCAAACTAAAGGTTTTTCCTGTCACCCCTTCGAACCACTTAAAATGAAACTCCTTGGATTCCCTTCATTTTGGAAGTCAGAGACAACTTCCAAGTGCTGCTGTTACATGGGGAAACTCGTTAGCCCAAAGGAAAGAGTGATCTGGCAGAGTCTGGAATTCCATCAGTCAGTTTTGATGCACCTTTCTGCATCTCCGGAGCGTGTTATTCCCCAAACATTTCAATTCTTGCTGTGTGCCACTTTTATTGCAGCCTTCAATCTGGACAATGAGCAGCCAGATTACGATATGGACTCTGAGGATGAGACCCTGCTGAACAGGCTGAACAGGAAGATGGAAATCAAGCCCCTGCAGTTCGAAATAATGGTTGACAGACTCGAAAAGGCCAGTTCTAGTCAGGTATTGTGGGAAGAAGTCACTGGGGTTTGGTGGTTGTTCTGGTGGGTGTTCTGTGTTCTACTCCCGGGATAAGCGTGTGGGAATCTGCACATGCACAGGAATCACATCACTGTCTTATTGTCATGCTGTCAATATTAGTAATTTAGAAAAACAAGGAGTGGGGAGGGAGCTTTTGGGGGCTGGCTGGGGAGAGTTGGTGTTAAATTTTAATTCCTGACCACAGTTAGTGTGTCAGAGAGGACAGCTTACAACTCTTTTTACCCGTGGTGGTGTGGAGGAAGCTTCTGGTGATTTGGCTGGTTCCTCAGCCTGATTTAGTTCAGTGCTGTGTGGCAAGAGGCCAAAATGTCATTTTCTTACACCTTACAGCAACTTCAACAAGGTAAAAATCTTTACCTCAATAATTGTAAAGGTTTTTTACTATGCTAAGAAAATCAACACCCCTGTTTTGGCTTTCAGTTCAAACCATTCTGGTTATCACTTCCCAAGGTCAATACTCATCCTTCTTATCCTGGTTTCACCTTTCGTTGCTGGAATGATAAAGTTACATTTTACAATTGAAAGATGCTTTTCAAAATTAAAATATTACAAGACTATAGAAAATTCATCTGCAAGCAAAACCAACCACACAGGGGCAGTTTATTTTTTTTGTGTTGTTTTCTTTATTTTTTTTTCTTAGGAAGTATGTTAATGGAAAAAAGGGAACAAAGGACAAACAAAACTGAAATTATTTTTAAGCAGTATTTTTCTCCTGTCTTTTAAAAACAGTTCAGTGTTTTTTTAATTCTACTGTAGATTGCAGTGGTTTTATTATATTCTGGCAGGAATTAACACATATTAGCAGTTGGACATAGGATATCTTTATTTTTCTGCTTATTCTAAGATTTTAGTTTGACATGTTGCAGAAGTGTAAATTGAAGTTGTTCGGTTGATGCTTTTCAAGTTATGGGGAAGATAAAGTGCTGCCTGACTTCTGTTCTAATTAATACTGGAGATTCTATTTTCTTTTTATTCAGTGAATGGGTTTAATGATATGAGCATGTTAAACTGATGTACTACTTAGTCACTGATGGGGTTTGCATTTATTTCGAGTCTAATTTCCATATAAAAAGCTGAACATAAAAATAAAAGTTATCTTTACATTATCAGTGCACAACTGCCTCCTACAGAAATAATTTGCCCAAAAACTGAACGACTTTGTCTCTGGGCTGTAATAAACAGGGATGGTCATTATCCTTTTCCATCACCAAGTAAACATTTTGGGGGGGGGGGGGAAATTAGGAAATAAATTCACTTCAGAGTATATTTCTCTACAGTAAATTATCTTGTAGGGGAGCCAGCATTAAACTGCAAAGAATGATACATTAATAATGGCTAACCAAGAAACTTTTAAGAAAAAACAGTCAGATTAAAGTGGTTCCTAAATCACGATCTGCAAACTGTAGTAAGTTATTTATATCCCGAGCTTGTAGTTGTTTCAGACAGTGTGTGCAGATTTCATGAAAGATGGATGAAGTTCTGGAGTATTGCAGGGAAGATGTGATGATGCCGGCTCAGACAATTTGGGAACTGTGTGACTTAGGAAGAACATGTACACAGTTCCCAAATTGTACATGAATATTTTTTAACTCTTTGTGCTAGAAAACAATTTGAGTTTACTCAGAGAATGTACAAGGGGGGTGAGTGTGTGGTGGCCTTCCCTACACCCCCATCCCAACTGCACCTTTCCCACGTTCTCCTGTAGCTTGTGACCCTTCAGGAGGCGAAATTGCTGCTAAATGAGGATGACTACCTGATCAAGGCTGTCTACGACTACTGGGTGAGGAAGAGGAAGAACTGCCGGGGGCCTTCCCTCATCCCCCAGATCAAGCAGGAGAAGAGGGATGGCTCCACCAACAACGACCCCTACGTGGCCTTCAGGAGGAGGACTGAGAAGATGCAGACCAGAAAGGTGACTTGGTTTGGATTTATGGCTTGGAGTCCTGCAGGGAGAGGGATCATTGGGATCCCTGGCCAGGGGATGGTTTATGTTGTTTCCTGGAGAGCTGGAACTCAGAGCAGTTGTGGGACTTGCTGGGTCACAAACTTCCCTTTCTGGGAGAAAAAGGGGAAACCACCCTCCACTTGCCGTGGAGTGAATAGTTCAGGTTTCATATTTGCAGCGTGAAGTGATTTGAACCAGGAAATCTGAAATTACTCAGCGTTTCGCATCAACTTCGCGTGGAACCAAGGCGGGAAAAGCGTTCCAGGAGCCAAACCGTGAACTCCTTGCTCTGCCAAACTTCCCCTGGGTTTATGTGGAACCTGAGCAGACAGAGCAGGGGGGGAGATGGCTGAGAAGCAGGGTTTTGTTTGCAGGTTGGATATGCTTTAGGAGAAGCTGCTCTGGAGGGTGCTCCTCAGCCTCGCTTGCAGCAGCGTTTCTGGAACTTCATTTGTGCAGTTTGAGCCTCGTGAGTTTAGGGCTCGACTTGAAATGTGTTTGGTCTCCCGACAGAACCGAAAGAACGATGAGGCTTCTTATGAGAAGATGTTGAAGTTGAGGAGGGAGTTCAGCAGAGCCATAACCATTCTGGAGATGATTAAGAGAAGAGAGAAGACAAAACGGGAGCTGTTGCATTTAACGTTAGAGGTTGTTGAGAAAAGGTAAAATTGCAGATTTACACCTGTAAGAAGTTATTTATATGACACCAAGGTTTTAAATTTCATTAAATGGGTTTGAAAGCATCTCTTGTAATTTATTTCTGTTTGGAGTTGTGTCTTCTGGACACATAGCTGGAGACTTGTGTACCACATAATATGTACTTACATGTGACTTCAGAAGCTGAAATAAAAGGGATTTATGCAGACTATTGGCCTTTCAAACATTTCCCAGTGGAGATGCAATATTATAGTTTTAATCCTGTTTTTTGAGGTACCACTTGGGTGATTATGGAGGTGAAATCCTCAATGAAGTGAAGCTCAATAGACCTGAGAAAGAGATGGGCACGACTCCATCGTCTCTCCACAACGGAAATCATCACAAAGTTCAAGAATGTAAAGTTAAGGTAAGATTATTTCTGCTGTGAATCTCCTGTTATGGAGTTCATCATTCCAGGTTGGAATTCAGGTGTGGTTTTGAGGCAGTAACCTGAAATGTGAGCAGTTTGAGGTGCTGGGAGGTGCAGGCTGAGAGCTGAAGGGCTGTGGAGGTTTGTATTTAGCACCCGCGACACCTAGTGGTGCTGGCATTCCATGCAAACCCGGCTGCTTCTCCAGGAATTCTGCCATTCCTTGGGTTTCTCCCCTGGCTCTGGAGCTGAGCTCCTTTTCTGGAGTTATTACTTTCAGTCAGTTATTGACGGGTGGTAATTTGGGGTGAACTTACACTGCACTGGCTTCTCCTTCAACGCGAGAGTTTTCCAAGTGAAATAATCTCTTTTAAAGGAAAGCTTTGAAGTTTAATGGTGTTTGTGTTCAAGTGAGCAGTTTAATATCGATGGGGGTGCTCACCACAGAGAGCTTGTGTTAGAAACATCTTAAACAGCCAACCCAAACACCACCACATCTGCACAGAAGTATCAACATGAAGCAAATTAGATTGTTTCTTTGGAGCGTATCTGAGCCCTTCAGAAAATGGAAAGTGCTGGAGAAAAATGAGATTTCAGAAATAGGAATTCCAATTACAATATCCTGAGTGTACTGCAAAGCAAGGAGCCTCTTAGGTTGTCCTATGGCTTGAGAGCTTTCAGTTTGTCTCTACAGATATTTATTAATAAACCATCAGAGGTTAACTTCTGGTTTTTTCGTGTTTTGAATAAATTTTGCATGACGTGTCTCAGATGTCTGCTTTGGGAGATAAGCACTCATGTCTTAGTAATTAACCTTTCCTCTCCTCATGCCTAATTTATTTTAAACACTTTGTTTTCCCCCCCCAGCATCCTCACCACTCCTCCCTGAAGGAAGAGGTGTCCGACGTTGTCCGTCAGAAGAAGAAGTACCTGAAGAAGCCTAAACTGGAGTGTGTGGTGACTCCTCAGCCCTCAGCTGAGCCCCTGCCTGTGCTCAGCAAGAGTGACATCAAACAGTACGACTTCCACAGCTCAGATGAAGATGAGTTCCCACAGGTAACAAACCCCCTGGCACAAAATCTCGGTGTGCTCACAGCAGAGGTTTCGCTTGCCTGGGATTTGGCCAAGTGGCTGTATTAAAAAGATCCCTGGAGAAACCATGAGTTTTTCTTCTAAGTTCTGCTTTGAGAAGCTGCATTTAACATATAAATGTGGCAGTCTGTGTTATGTAAATACAAACTTGTATAATAAATAAAATTACATGAATGTGGCAGTTGGGAGAATGACGTTGCCTTCTGCTCTAGGTACCCTCGCCAGTGTCAGAAGCAGAAGAAGAAAATGATCCTGATGGACCCTGTGCTTTCAGGAGGAGAGCAGGATGCCAGTATTATGCTGTAAGACTGTGCTGTTGGATTTAGGGTGGTGTTGGGGGGGTGTTTCTTAAATTTAGGCTGGCACAGGGCTAATGTCACAGGTGTTCTGTTCCCACTCTCAGCACCAAAACTTTGATGCACCCAGAGACAGTTTTCAGCCTTAACTCCTTTACCAAAAGGAGCTGAGATGACTGATGTTCATTCTTTTCTATTAGTTTTCCCTTGCTGTTAGAAGCAGGTTATTTAACAGCCTAAATGTTATATTTTTTTTAGTTTGTTTGCCCTTTTAAACTACCAAGTCCATTTGAGTTTGGCTTCACTCAACGTAAATTGATTGACTCTACAGCCCTGCATTTAAGCTGATCACAGAAATCGATAATGAGTATTATTAACTTGTCATTTGAGACAGCACAGAGCATTTCTGCTTGGAAAGATGGAATCAGAGAATCCCAGAAATGGTTTGGGTTGGAAGGGACCTTAAATCTCATTCCATTCCTGCCCTGGACAGGGACACCTCCCACTGGCCCAGGTTGCTCCAAGCCCCATCCAACCAAGTGATGGTTCTGTGGGCAATCATCAACCTGTGCATGATAACCAGCAGTGCCCCAAACCATCCCACACTCTCTGAGTGAGTGTAAAGTTGCCTTTTCCTGTTCTTCTTCGCAGCCTCGTTTGGACCAAACTAATTCTTCGTCTGAAACCCCCGAGTTGGCAGAATTGGACAAGCTGAGGTTCAGGCATTGCCTTACAACCCTGACAATTCCAAGGAGGTGCATAGGATTCGCCAGGAGGCGGATTGGCAGGGGTGGAAGGTACAGCTGTGTTGCTTTAACCCTTCATTCCCCTCCCAGGTGTTAAAAAGGGAACAATCAGAGTGACTGATGTGTTCTCTCCTCCTCCCTCCCCAGGGTTATAATGGACCGAATATCCACAGAGCACGATCCCGTCTTGAGGCAGATTGACCCGGAAATGCTGAACAGTTTTTCGAGCTCTTCCCAGACTTTAGACTTTTCTTCTAATTTCTCACGGACCAATGCTTCCAATAAACCTTGTGAAAACAGACTGTCCCTCCCTGAAATCCTAAGCAATATCAGATCATGTCGACTGCAGTGTTTCCAGCCCAGGCTACTCAATCTCCAGGACAGCGATAGCGAAGAATGTACCTCAAGGAAACCAGGGCAGACTGTGAATAACAAAAGAGTCTCTGCAGCATCTGTAGCTTTATTGAACACCAGCAAGAATGGCATATCAGGTAGGCAAGGATTGGAGTTCTTCTGGAGCTTAAAATACTGAATTTTGGTGGGTTTACCTGGGACTGCACTGCTAACAGCACCGCTGTGTATCTAACCCACGGATTAAAATAACTAATTACTTTGTGTTTCCTGGGACACACAGACCTTTCCCTCTTCCTCCTGCTTTTATTCCAGTGCCAGTAGAATTTGGTGAAGTGCTGGATTCAAACACACACATTATTCAACTGGATTCTGCTTGTATCAAGAATTGTTGAGGTGTGATTGAGTCTTCATGGCTCTTAATTGGCCTGACTGTGTTTAAAGATAGAAGAATTTTCTTTGTGAGCGCCAAAGGAAAGCCCCTGGTCTGAAAACAGCAAGAATGTTGACACTGGAAGCATCCAGTGATGCAATGCACCTTCTCTGGTTTTTTGGCTGATCATCAGCCACTGATGAAGTTTGGGAAATTGTCATTTCCCTTAAATGTCATCTGCAGCTCTCACAGCCAGTGCAGCCACCCTTTGCCTTTATGACCTGGCAGCTCCAGAAGAGCAAGACAGACATTCCCACGTTAAAAAAAAATGCTGATAAAGTTTCTTGTCGTGTCTTCACAAGAAAATAAAATATGCACAACATTTGTGAATACTTGTAGACTCCTTGTTGGGGCTTGGAATAAAAGCTTCCAAAGGAAAAAATCGTTTTAAGCTTAAATTAAATAGCCTTTGCTTCACTTGCTCCATATGCTGGAGCTGTAATTGTAATTCTATAACTTTTCAGCTTAGTCCTTGTAAGCTTTATGTTGTTCTCTCCCATGATCAGATTTGCACAGGAATATTCCTGCTGCACGAAAAGAACACATATAATGTGCTGTGGCTTTATTTTATGTAATTATTCTTCCTGAAAGAGCAGGAAGGGCTTGGAGAATTCCACCTGTAGCAGAAGAGGGGGCAGCTGTGTGTGATGGGATTATTAAGAGATGTCTGGTTAAAGCAAGTGCAGAAAATTTTTAAAAAAATTAAGGATGTGAACCATGGACTGTAAGGAACAAGGGTTTAGCTGGTAGGTCCTTATGTAACAAGAATGAGCAATACTGCAAGATTCCTGTTTGCAGGAATGCAGTATGGTGGCACCAAGGTATGGGAAGGTGCTGAGAAACATCCGGGTTAAGCTGATGATTATTTTTTTCCTGAGTTTTTTTTTTTTATAATAATATAGTAAATATCAGTCAATTACTGAAGGATTAGCTAGATGTAACACTTTAAATTCTGCTCTGGGTGGAGTCTGCCTAAAAATGAGGAGAATATTTTGAGGTGGAAGCTGATCTGTGAAGGAAAAAGGTTGAACAGTTGTGTGAAGTCCCCAGAACTGGCTGTAGGATTGCAGCAGTGGAGGAGAATTCCAGTGGCTGGGAAAGATGGCAAAACAAAAAGGAGAACAGTGTTTATCTGCAGGGAAAAGGGGAGCCCTGTGTTTTGTAGGGATCTGTGGACACACAGGAATAAAACATCAGCCCTTCCTGGGTCAGGTAATGCCCATCAACAAGAATATCAGTGTGTGGATTGATCAAAATAGTAATAAACTTGGGTTATGATTCTGAAAAATCCCCTGGGGAATACAGGGAGAACAGAAGGTCCCTCAGCAGCTGAAGTAAATCATGCAGGCACATTTATGGCTGTGGAAGACCTTTCTCATCCCAGGTTAAATTCCAAAGCAGATCCTGCAGTTCTGGTGCAGGATCAGACACAGCAGACAACAGAATTGTCCCCCAAGTGACAGAGCCAGCGAGAGGCACAGTGTTGGGTTTTCTCCCTCGTAAATAGTGAATAAATTTGGGAAGGGCTGGTCAGAGTCTGGCTGTGCATTAAATGAGCACAGCACAGTGCATTTATTGAAGTCATTCTCTTTGCTGATATCAGTGGATTTTATAGCACACTTACCTGTGAGCATAAAGCTGCCTCCAGAGGGAACAGTGGCAGTGCTAAAACTGATTACTTCTATTTTTTTTTGATGTTTTTACTTTAGAGAAGACTTAGAGTTGCTTTGATTTTATTTTTTTTTTTTGCTGCACAAGAATATTTAAAATTACCTCTGCATTTTATTTTTCCCTGTATTAATAAAGCAACTCTTCCTCTGGTATTTCCTCCAATGCTGTAGAAACAGAGACTAATTTTAAAAATGGTGTGACCAATCTTCTCTTCCAAGTGCCTAATCAGTGCATGAATAAAAAACCAATTTTTTGAGCTAATTAACTCTTGCTCATGTCATAAGAACTGCAAGTGGGAAAACCATGTCCCTGGATACACAGGACAGCTATTCCCAGCTGAAGGATTTTGCTTATGGAACAAACTTTTACCTTTTAGAGGTATTTTTTTTTTATCCTCAGCATTAAATACCATGTAGAAGTAATTAATAAAATGCCACTTTCAGGGCAGCCTGTAAGATGATCTTTGATTAAAGGCTTCAAATCCTGAGAGAAGTGACATAAAAAATGCAAACCAAAGCTGTCAAGGAGGAAGACTTAATTTACCAGTGCCTTTTTTTTTTACCCTGTGGTGTTGCAGTTTTTCAATCCATCACAAAACTCAGGTTTTAACATGAAACACTTGGCAGTATTTTCAGTTTACCAAGGGTGCAGTTCTTTGGGTGAGAATATTAAAAACAGCTTTTCTAACTTCATTTCCTTCCTGTGTTGGGAGTGTGAGACTTACTGGGGTGGCATTAACCTGCTTCCCATCAGATACAAACCTCTGTCACTCCTAAACTCTTACTCCATTTAAAAAAATAATTGGCAGAGAAAATCCTGTTCAGGTGGAACAACGAGCAGATCCTTCAGGAAAGGTGGGAAAGAGGAAGGTCAAGCTGGAATTGCCAGATAGGTGAATAGTCCTTTGGGGTGAGGGCTGGTCTAGAACTGCACAGACTGTTTAAATCTCAGATTTTTTTGTGTTCTCCAGTGCCAGTGTTCCACTGGAAATCCATCCTGCTGTCAGAGAAAGGGACAGTAAGGGACTGTAGGAAAGGAATTTGTACAGGAATAAACTCCAGTGCTCCCTGGGACACCAAATGCCCAGCTCAGCCCAGATACTTCATCCTCAGCCCTGATTTTTAGGCCAGTGCTTGTTTTCTGAAAGGCAGGAAAATACTTTCACTAAGCTTTTGCCTGAAGCTACTGGAGAGAAAACCACCAGAGATAAAAACTGCTTAAAAGCAACCAGAGCCCTGAGTTCTTTTGTTGTAAATTGATTCAGTGTAAGAACACAACAAACAAACTGTAGCTTGACCTCTCCTTTACATGAGAATACAGGAAGATCTTGGGAAGCATCTGACACAGCGTGTGATGTCTTTGAGCACTCAGTTGTCCAAAATAGCTGCACTGTTGCCTTTCAGATGAATTTGCTGTGTGCAGGGCTGTGTAACTCTGCTCCCCTTTCTTTCCTGTAGTCACAGGGGGCATCACAGAGGAGCAGTTCCAGACACACCAACAGCAGTTGGTGCAAATGCAGAGGCAACAGCTGGCTCAGCTGCAGCAGAAACAGCAGTCCCAGCATTCCTCCCAGCAGGCACATCCAAAAGCACAGGTACTGCTCCCCAAATGTTCCTCCCATGCTGCTGATTCCTGTTTGCTTACTGTGTTCATCTCTCCTCCACACTAAATGTATAACACCCCAGTAAAGATGTTACGTTTGAGAGTGAATGTTGAATATTTTTAGTCAGATTTTATGTGGGTTTGTTTTTTTTTTATATATATAAATTGTATGTCATGGTTGTGTTTACAAGAGACTTCCTGGTTGAATGTGTTCCCTGCCTGCCCAGGGCACAAACAGCCGTGTGCTCTCAAGCCTTGCTGCTTTCACTGGTTCTGCCTCCCTTTGTGTAACAGCTCTGAGGAGACTCCTTTATTAAAATTACCTGATGAGGTAATGTTCTATTATGGTAGGGCTCTGCTACGAGCAGATGTTCAGTGAGTACTCCAAATTGGTACCTCTGAGAGGGAAAACAGAGCTTTGCCTGTTTGCATATTCTGTCTTCTGAAAGAATCTCGTTTTCCCTCTGTAATACCTTGCAAGGGAAGAAAGATTTTCAGGTGTTCTTAGTTTTCTGTTCCTTCCTTAACAAAAAAAAATATAAAAGCTGTTGTTGTTGTCATCTATTACTTTTACTTTGAGCATTTAATATCTTTAATTGCTTCTGCTGTTTGTCCCTTCCCCTCTGTGTTTTCTACTTAAGTTAATCAGGGATTCTGTGTTGGCAGATACTGATGACATTTTTTTAAGTGTAAGGGGACAATGCCAGACTATTTAAACAAAAGGAATGAATTTTGGACCTTTAAAACACTCTAAGCTTCTGTGCAAAGTCATTTCTTAAGCTAATATATGAATTGCAATTGCAGGATTAACATTCCTTCCAGTAAGAGTGGTGAGGCTTCCCAGTACTTACTGTTGTTTCAGAGAAGCTGGGCTGATGGATAATGTGTGACTCCAGAAGGAGCAGGGCACAAATTGCTGTGGGACAAATCACTCCACGGGAGCGGATGTACCATAAATACTGAACAGCCTTTAGGATTGCAGTTGCAGAGTGTTTGCTGCCTGGAGACAGGAGAGAAAGGGAGGCTTGAGAAACTAAAGGCGTAGTCATCATCTTAAAGGAAACTTCTCAAAGACTTCCATGGAATCCCAGACTGGTTTGGGTTGGAAGGGGCCTCAAAGATCATCTTGTTCCACCCCCTGCCACTGGCAGGGACACCTTCCATCAACTCAGGTGGCTCCAAGCCCCGTCCAGCCTGGCCTTGGACACTTCCAGGGATCCAGGGGCAGCCACAGCTTCTCTGCCCAACCTGGGCCAGGGTCTCACCTCCCTCACAGCCAGGAATTCCTTCCCAAAATCCCATCTCTCCCTGCCCTCTGGCACTGGGAAGCCATTCCCTGTGTCCTGTCCCTCCATGCCTTGTCCCCAGTCCCTCTCCAGCTCTCCTGGAGCCCCTTTAGGCCCTGCAAGGGGCTCTCAGGTGTCCCTGGATCCTTCTCTTCTCCAGGCTGAACAGCACATGGCAGGAGTGCTCTGTTGTGCTCAGAACTGCACTTGCCACTGAGTGGATTGTGCAGGACTTGCCCAACACTCAGGTGGACACTGATGTTCAACTTCCCATCAGTGTTTCAGACACAGAACTGTTCAGTGTTTGGGTGCAGTGGGTTACAGGTAGAACAAGTCTGTATTGATAGGATAGTACTTGTGCACTACAGCAATCCTAACACTGTTTCACTTTGTACTTGGATAATTATGAAAAACGTTTTTTTACCCTCTTTTTTTTTTTCCTCCCAGGGCTCCAGCACCTCTGACTGTATGTCCAAAACCCTGGATTCAGCCAGTGCCCACTTTGCTGCCTCTGCAGTGGTCAGTGCTCCTGCCCCCGGCCGCAGCGAGGGCACCAAGGAACCCAACACCAGCCACAACAATATCAATGGTGTTGTCCAGCCTTCAGGTGATGATGCTTAAAACTCCTGTCTAGTGTGAGCCAAGGGTGCCAACTGTTATTACTCAACTTTCTGATTTAATAAATTAAAAATCAGATATATTAATTGTGATGGTTTTAAATAGCCTTCTTTGAAATACTCTTGGGCAATGGCACTTATCACAGACTCAGAGAATATCCTGAGTTGGGAGGCACCCACAGAGATCATCCAAGTCCAGCTTCCTTGCCCTGCACAGGACTGCCCCAGGAACCCCACCAATCCTGAGAGCCTTGTCCAATATCTGTTGTTAGAATGGATATAAAGCTACCAAATGCTCTTTTGCATTGGAGGAGCATTGTGTATTTTTCCTTTGGCTTATCTTTTAATAATTTGTTACGATCAGAAGCGTGACATCACCTTAAAACCAGTGTGAATGTGTAATTCAAAAGTTAATCAATTGCTTAAACTTGAAGCACTTTATGAAGACAGTGGTAAAGTTGTTAAATTATTTGGTCATTATCTCCTGTATTCAGGCAAAAACCTACCAACCAACTGCCACTGGCAATTCTTTACTTCAGAGTAAGTTTTGGGTATCACTGCATTTAGGATTCTTCCCAAATTCAGGCAGAAATGTAGCCATTGGCATTCAGTGCCTTCCTCCCACCCCTCCTCCTGGTTGTGCTGGTGCCGTGGCCAAGTAGCCAAGAGGCAAATGTGATTTGGCACTGGGCTGCCAGCACAAAGAAAAGGCTTTTAGAGTAATTTGTTGTTTTAGCAGCTAATGATGTGATTAGTTTTATAGACCTTCTGCCAGGCTGGGTTAATGATAATATGAAATGAATAGAGGGAGAAAAAACAACGACTGAATAAAATCAATATACTGGAGCAGCTCCAGGGAAGGGGGAGAGAGAGAGAGAGAGACATCTGTGTGTAATTCTTTGAGATTGTATCCAAGAGGGCAGTGCTTTGAGGGGTGTAAGATCAGGCACCATTGCTACATTTTGTGACTGTGGAACAGGGATTCTTGCACTGTCCCAGGGACCAGACACACCCACAGCATTATTTCATAAACAACATTTCTCTCGTGACAGGAACCTCCCGGACCTTGTACTCCACCAACATGGCTTTATCATCCAGCCCAGGGATCTCGACCGTGCAGCTGGTAAGGACAGTTGGCCACAGCACCACAAACCACTTAATCCCAGCGCTGTGCACGAGCAGCCCCCAGGCTGTGCCCATGAACAATTCGTGCCTGCCCAGCACGGTGCACCTCAACAACGTCAGCGTGGTGTCCCCCGTCAACGTGCACATCAACACGCGGACGTCGGCGCCGTCCCCCACCGCCTTAAAACTCGCCACAGTCGCTGCCAGCATGGACAGAGTGCCAAAGGTGACCCCCAGCAGTGCCATCAGCAGTATAGCGAGGTGAGTGGGGCGGGCTGGCAGGCCTGGTGGGGTTGGAATTCACTGGAATCACAGTCACTGAGGTTGGAAAAGGCCTCCGAGGGCATCGAGGCCAACCTGAGCCCACCCACGTCCTGCTGTTCCTTGGGCACCTCCAGGGATGACGATTTCACCACCTCCCTGGGCTGTTTCAATGCTTGACAACCCTTTCCATGAAGAAATTCCTCCTGCTGTCCAACCTGAACTTCCCCTGGTGCAGCTTGGGGCTGTGTCCTCTCTTCCAGCCCATGGAGTCCACCCTGTGCTCTGTCCCCCACACTGAGGGTCACATCCAGTCATTCTTGAACACCTCCAGGATTGGGGACTCCAAACCTCCCTGGCTTCCAATGCCTGACAACCCTTTCCCTGAAGAAATCCCTTCTGATGTCCAACCTGAACCTCCCCTGGCACAGCTTGGGGCTGTGTCCTCTCCGTGCCCAACTCTGCACTAGAGAAAATTGTTTCCCCACCTAAGAGACTTCCCAGCACAGCTTCAACTTTTGTGAGATAAGAGGCTGGCACATACCTTTTTTATATATATATATTCACATGGATATATGTGTTATATATTTATGTGACATACAGACCAGAAAACTGCATAGATAAAATCACAGCATCATAGAATTGGTTAGGTCAGAAAAGACCTCCAAGATCATCGAGTCCAACCATGAAGATGTTTATTCTCACTGAACAGCAGCACTGTTATTTTGGGATACTTAGAAGATGTTTCGTAGCAGGAGTTTGCAGTGGGCCAAGTTGTCTGAAAAGGGCAATACTTGGGGTTTGTTTTAAGTCTGCTGGATTATTTGCTACTTAAAGAAACCCATGTTTAGGAATTGGAAAAGGCAAAAATGGGTATTAGTAAATGATCAGAAAAAACTTAAGATTTCTTGCACTTTAGGGGGAATTATAACACTTTGTTCACTGGCAAAAAAAAATGAGTTATTATATTGCATACCTTTTTTTATTCAGGAGACTTTTTAGTACTGTTTAGTGCTCTTATCCATGCACTAATCTTGGAGAAGGGATGCACTGCTGGTGGAGTTGTTGAAAGCCAATATTTACCTTTAAATCACGTCTGCAATGTGTGTGGAGGCTTCTCCCTGGCTGTGCTGGGTTGAACCACCCAGCAGAGGGAAGGAAGGGCTCAGGCAGTGGGAGGGAACCCCTCCTTTCGTGGCTGTAACCGTTGGGATTCGCTTCCCTTGCAGGGAGAACCACGAACCGGAGCGCCTGGGCCTGAACGGCATCGCAGAGACCACAGTGGCCATGGAGGTGACATAACCCCCACCCAGAGCGTCCACCCGTGCCCGTGGAGCGGTCCTGGAGTCCCAGCTGAATGCAAAACACGGCGCTCTGTGCGTCACAGAGAGCTCGGAGAGACCGAAACGGACTTAGAATTATATCGTGTATTAAGTCGATATATAATGTAAATTTTGTAAAATTGGGAAAATCACTACCTTGTAAAATAGTTTATTTGTATCATCAATATTATTTCTGTTACTTGAATAGTAGATATTCATCATCATGCTTTTGCACTTGAATTTGCAACTGAATGGATTAAAAAAATAATTCTTTAATGGGATCATGAGCATGACATGGGATCCTGCATCACTTGTTTAAACTATTTATTTTGCCATGTTTACATTTTGTATCTTGTACAAATAAATGCAACTTTGTGTCTAAAAAAAAAAAAAGTTAAAGATTCATAGCTAGGAAACAAAATTCTTGTAATTTTTTTCTAAAGGAAATGTAAAGTTTTCACTTGGTTCATTTTGTTTCACAATTTGACTAGATGGACTTTTTGGTAAATACTTTAGTGGCATTTCACTGTCAAATATGAAGTTCAAGGCAAAATAGTATTTTCTATTACTGTGCAGGGGAAAGGGATGGATCGATACATGCAAATTTAATGTAGTAACTCACTTTTCCATATATTTTGAATGTATATTTCTATTTATAATACCAGTTTATAAAAAATAATTACACAGGAGAGAGAGAGAGGGAGAGAGAGAGGAAAAAAAAAAAGAGAGAGAGAGAGAACTGACTAGGAAAATTATGCATCTGGCACAGGTGAAACTGTGCAGATCTGAGCAAAATTTTTCACCTGACGACATTTTATCCGAAGACTTCTGCGTATTTTAACCGGCTTTTCCAACTTGTACCACACCCACACATTAAAGGATATTTTACCAGGTATGTATTGCATTATATATCATTGCAATAATTCATTATTGGATGTCTAGATATCGAGCCATCCCAGGTGGTGGGGGCAGGGGGTGGGGAGGGCGGGGTGGGGAGCGGGGTTGGGAGGGGAGGGGAGGGTCGTGGCAAGATTGTCTTTTCAATTTTGGAGAGTTTTCCTGTGGCTACAAGGCAAGTAACGGGTTGGAAAAAGTCTGACTGTAAGCGTTGGACACCTTCGTAGTGTAGTGTTTTAGTGACTTTTTTTATACGGTTCTTGTAAATTAGATACGTGTAGTGGTGTTTCCGAAATGTTTGTTTATGCACTAGTTCAGACAACTTTCCCTGTTACTTGTTCTTGATAAGTGAAAACTGCAGGGAAATAAAAAGTACATATCAAAAACCCGGCCATGGCGCAGATGTGGTTATTTCACAGGGCGAGTGTAGGGGTCGTGAAGGGGCTCTTGGTGATTTATTGGCATATGCACCGGTTCCCAGAAGGTTTCAGGTCATGGGGTGTTGTTCCCTGTCCGTGGTAAGGGGAGGGCTGGGCTGGAGGTTTGGGATCTGAGACCTGGCAGTGCGGTGCAAACTTGGGGGTGAGTCACTTGGCTGTTGGACTCTCCACCTTTGGATAACGTTTCTGTATTTCTTACAAATCCCAGAATGTTTGAGGTTGTCTGGTCCAGACTCAGGATATGCTCTGCCTTGATGTTGTGCAGTATTTCCCTTCCTAGCTGCACATAAAGAGCTGTTTTCAATCCAAGTTGTGTTTGAACCTGCTTTGTCTTGCGTTGTGGAAGGTGAATTTTCCGGCAGCTGAAAACACTTTGCAGAGCTTTAAATACCAGGAGCTCGTCAGAAGACTCAGATGTCTAAAATTAACTGGTTTTTTGCTTCACTGAGGCTTTATTTTTTTATTCAGTCCGATGTCTCCAGGGAGAGGTGAGAACACATTAAACCTTGTTGAGAGTAATCAGAAGGACCCACGACCTGCCTTGCTCAGGTGAGGTGTGGTGGCAGCATTTGGGGTGTCAGCACAAAGGGGGGGTACCTGTGAAAAGGTGTTTATTCACTGCTCTGGGCCTTCCCTGAGCTGCTGCTCCCTGAAAAGCTGCTCTTTACCTGTCCATGGTCCTTCCAGGTTTGTCTGAGCCTTCCTGCAGAGCTGGCAGGGACTGACCCATGTGGTCTAAAAGTATAAATGAATTTCCTCTGAAAGAATTGCTGAAAACCTAAGCCTTAAAAAAAAAAATAAGTTATTGTCCTCAATATATAGAAATAACCTTGCTTCACACCATCCCCAAAAGCCTTTGGAGGCTTAATGAGAATGGGAAGTAATTTCTTCTGCAGATTGAAAGCTGTGGACTCTTTCACTACAGACATGGATCATTTTCAGGGAAAATGGGACTGAAGATGGCTCAGATTGCTGCCTGTCTCTGACTTGGGGTAGTCTAATCCTCATCTAATTACTTGAAAAACCCTTTAGCTGGAGCTTCGAACTTTTAATGGATTCTGAGAAAATGGGAGGTGGAGGGAAGGATCCCACGAACTCCCAAGGCTCTGATGGTAAGTGCCAGATGTGGAATGGGGTTCCTTTAAAGGATTAGTGAAGCAGAGCTGGAATAGTCATCCTTAGGATTTCTGGCAGTTAATTGTGTGCCTCAAGTGCAAGAGAAGGGGAGTGATGGATAATGCTGTAGCCCATGGAAATCTTCCTTAAAAAGAAGAAAAAAAGCATTGGTAGAAACTCTTTGTCTTGCTCCTGGTGAACAGCAGGGAGTGCCACTGACAGAGTTGGTTTTGTTCTGTTTTAATGTGTGTGTTGAAGATAATATTTTTAATTCTTATTTGCCCATCTCTGCTGTAGGATTTGCAGAGTGATTTTTGTTCTGTCCTCTGAGTGTCATTCAGGTAAGACTGTTAATTCTTTACTTGGTTTATCTACAGCGATTTATATTGGACTCCATGTCTGTGGGTACAGTTTCCCTTCAGTGTCGGATACCAGGAAATGATGGTTCTGTTTTTAATTAGGTTTATCAGTTTAATTATGTGTTGACTGGGGTTTTGGTGTGTGTTCAGTTGTCATCCCAACAGGCCTCCTGGGTTTGACTTCAGAGGAACAGTTTCAAACCTCACCTCCGTGCTTGTTCTGCTTTCAGGCTTTGCAATATTCAGGCTTGCTCTTAGGAAGGTGGAGAAATAACCTTCATAAAGAGCACCCTCCCAGCCTTACAACTTTGTGAAGTTATGACTGTGATTAAGAACAGTAAAATCTGTTTGGTCCAACCTGGCTTCAGTGCACTGCATCCTGGTTTGACTCCAATCCAAGTGGAATTGCCCAGGGAAGATGACGTAGAAGGATCAGAGCAAGGAGCAAAGGAAAGGAGGGAGGCAATAATTAAGGCAGATAACAGAAAACTTGCAACTCAGCATAGTCTCAGCCTAAATCTTTGTGTCTGGGGGGGGTACAGGACTGACCACGGCACCCTCCGTGTGGGATCGTGCTCTGACAAGGTCTCACCCCTCAGGAACGTCAGGAAAGATGAGCTGTGCCTGCCTGTCAGCTGCGGGCTCTCCTCGGGCCGGCAGAGCTAATGGAGCAGAACACGGCGCGGTGACCGAGGCACATCTCCCAGCTGCACTTCCCAAACCTCGGGAGCGCTCGGGGCTGGTTTGTGACACGGCAGAAGCTGCCAAGGAGCCCCGAGTCCCTCCCCCGGGGCCGGGCTGGTGGCAGCTGGCTGGGAATTGGTGGCAGCCTGGTGCTCACTTCCCACCGTGGCTCTCGATGCTTCACTGCCCCTGCCCCAGTTAACGTCACTTCACTGAGCCCTGCCCTGGGGACAGAGTGATCCTTAGAACAGCGTCGTGTCCCCCCTCCCTTCCTGACGATGCTGATGTGACTGGACCGGTCCTGGTGGGTTTAAATCGCCGGCGCTGTCAGTGACACCAGAAGATGGCGTCAGCTGCCTGTGATGCTCTTTTAACTCTTTCTGCAGCTCCAGGGACACTTTGTGGCTTGGGATTGGGTATTTTTTAGTGGCTTTTAGTGCTTTTTTTTTTTTCAGTTGGCCTTTTTATGGTTGCTTTATAACTTCCTGTAATTTAACACATTTTCCCCGAATTCCAATCCTTTGATTCGGGTGATTTATCGAGTAACCCAAATAAAAGGATGGTAACTTGGAAAAAAAATGTTTTGAGCACTGAACAATCAACTAAAAGGCTTTGCTGTTTTACAAAGTGATAAGAACATCTATTTATTTATTTATTTATTTATTTATTTTTAGCAAACCCATCTTTTATAGGTAGGTTAACATGATATATATATATATGACTGTGTAATGTGAATAATTTATATGAAGATTGAGATTTACGTGTGCACCTGAGTAACTTATATATATATATTTTACAGGAAGCAGATATTGGAGTGGTTTGCAAACCAGAAGCAATTCTGCTCTGAAACTCCCTGCCAAACACTTTCTCCGGGAAGTACCTTTGGAGTGCCAGTGCTCCATTCCCACACCTGACCTTCTGTGGAGATGTGAGAAAGGAACCCCCACGGTCCCAGTGCCCAAAGAAATCCTGCCCTGTCGGACCAGAGGGATGCTGTGGCTGGGATAACCACCCTGGGTGACTGGGAGGCTCAGCTGTGCAGCTCCTGTGTGTTTTGCTGTGGAATTTCCCCCTTGCCTGGCCCAAATGTTCCCATTCCCCAGTCCCTCCTGAGCTCTGGATGTGCCCCCGTGCCTTGGGTGATCCTTGGGGATGCAGATTGGATGTTCCCAGACCTCACTCCCTCCTAACTGCCTTCTCAGCTCTTTTTAGCTCACTTTGTTGCCTGTTTTATTTATTTATTTGTTTATTTATTTTTAGTCCTGCTGAACACTTCCGTGTCCTGGCTTTGCAGAGGTGTTCCCTGGTGCACTCTGACGGTGTCTCCTGCTGTCTGTGGGCCATTAACTACACAAGACACTCCAAATTGCCTTTTTTTGTCGTGGGGATCCCAACCCTTTGGGGAGAAATCCTTTCCCACCCCCTTTACCCACAGACATCTCAGCACAGATGACACAGGCGTTTCATCAGATTTCCCCTCTCAGGCCGCTGATGAAGCACCAGGATCAATGGGATCTGCATTAAAGCCGCTCTCCCTGCTGACAACTTACACCCCTGGCCAGCACTGAACTGTTAAACACAGCAGAAATTCAACCTTGCTGTTCTTTCTTTTTCTCCTTCCCAACTCCAAAGCCCGTTCCTGGAGCCCAGAAGCAGTGAAAGGAAACAAAGTTCTTCGGGCCCTGCACGTAGGAAATTGTTTTTTGGTTTTTTTTTTTCCTTTCTGAAATGCCCACTTCCCTTATTTCTGTGGGATCACCTCTATCAGAATCCACATTCTGCTGTCCTTCAAGACTGTCACCTGTCCCCTTCTTGTTTTTCCTGCAGCCTTAACACCTTGTTATTCCAGTGGCTGTGGAATTACAGCTGGAGGACTTGCTGGGAAATGAGGTGACATCGAGCTTCTCTGGCTTTTACTTCTGTGCTACTGGTAGGAAGAAAAATTCTCTTGTGTTCTGGTGTAAGAAAGCTCAGTGAAACACAACCACAGTGGTGGTTCTTGTTAAGTGAACAACTGAAAAATGACAGACAGGGGGTCAGAAGTGAAAGGAAGTAATGAAGGTGCCAGCAGTGACACATGACTGCCTTTCTGTGCCTTCGTGCTTTATGGAAAGCAGTTTCCCAACAAGCTCTCATCCCACCTTCAGCCCAGCCAGGAAGGAGCTCCCAAACCCGAGGAGGAGCTGATCACTCCCGAGTTCTGCCTGAAAATTCCCGTTCCTCCTAGGCTGCTTAACCTAAGCTGGTAATAAGTAGTAAAAATAGCAGCTCAGTGACAATGAGGCATTGTCTGCACTACAGACAATGTCACGTTGTTTGTGCCAAAACTGCTCAGGAAAGATGGCCCTTTGGATTCTGATTGCAGATTATACCTGCTCGAACAAGGAAAATAGATTTTTGCCTATCTTGCTCCAAAGTGAGCTCTGGATAATGGAGGAAAATAAGGATTAATTCATCCAAAGGGTTGTCTTTTATGACTAAGCCCCTGCTTGTCATGACTAACAAATTTGCTATTCAGGGTAAAAGCTTGAAACATAAGAGAAATAAAAGGGATAATTGGTAATCCACGGGAATAAGTCTCATTATATAATAATGTCTTATCACATGCTGCACATTGCTAACTCTCCTCCATGTAATTGCTTTCAAGAGGGGTGTGAGAGCCTCTGGATGCTCCCCACATCCACCTCAGGTAATGAGGACAACCTCTGGAGCTGGAAGAAAGGGAGATTTCCATCGAAATGCTGGAGGACTGTCCACCACCACCCTAACTGTAGGGCTGAGGCTAATTGAGTTAAACTGGGACTCGGGAAGAAACCAGTTCCAGGAATTGCTGAAATCTGGGCCGTGTCCAGAAGACATCAGGGGTGGTTGGATTCTTCTTTAATGCTCCAGCTTCTTCTAGGGAGAAAACGATGGAGGGAGGAGGAGGAGGAGATTTCCTGTGGTCCAGACCGTTCAACTCAGGTGAATGCAGTGAAACAAAGGAGTCTGGGGACAGGGGTGGGCACAGGGGGGGCGAGTTTTGCAGGTGCTCTCAGCAGGTGAAGGAGGAGCATTGCTGGAGAGGGAAGGAGGAGGTGCAGAAGGACAGCACCCCTGAGGTGCAGGAGCAGCCTCCAGCCACTCCATCTGCTTCTTCCAGATGCTGATTCACCGACTGCATCGTGACAAAACTTCCTGTAAATGGGACGAGGTCCAAGCGTCACCCAGAGGTACCATTGCTTCTGCTTTTTCTCACAGAGGTGGTGGGATATGTATACATAATGGATTCCAGGAATAAACAACCTGCTTATAGAGCCAGCTCGTGCCAGAGGCAAAGGATTTTCCCACAGAGAGCACAGGTGTAATCCAAGATTTGAGCCCCTTGTGATTCGAGCCAAACTCTGCAATTTTCTTTTGTTGTTGTTGTAGTTAATCAGTAGCTGTAGCTGGATGATTAGGATTGAACAGTTGCACTGTGAATGTCAAACACTTGGCTAATCTTGTGTTTTAAGGAAAAGAGAAGACAATCCCAAGGGTTGGTCTCTGGGAGGGGTTGGGCTCAGGAACCTGCTGGTGCTGGTTTGGGTGGGGGTACATGGGCAGCACCGGGTGCCTGAGCTCAGATTGTTGGTTTGCTGACCAGCCAGCCTTGTCTTTGGTTCGAGACAAAGGGATCTCAGGGGGGAACTGAGGGGAATCTGAGGGGGAAAGGTGCTGAGTGGGGCTCTGAGTTTGGGGACACCAAGGGAGGGTCTGAGGGGAGTCTGTTGGAGCAGGTCCAGAGCATAACCACAAAGTTGGTGAGGGGCCTGGAGCATTTCCCAGATGGAGACAGGCTGAGAAAGTTGGGGCTGTTCAGCCTGGAGAGGAGAAGGTTGTGTGGAGACCCCACAGCACCATCCAGTATCTGAAGGAGGCTGGAGAGGGACCCCTCATCAGGAACTGGAGTGATAGGACAAGGAGTGATGGGTTCAAACTGAAAGAGGAGGAATTTGGTTTGGATATATGGAAGAAATTCTTCCCTGTGGGGTTGGCGAGACACTGGAACAGGTTTTCCCAGAGAAGCTGTGGCTGCCCCACCCCTGGAGGTGTCCAAGGCCAGGTCGGACAGGGCTTGGAGCACCCTGGTCCTAGCGGAAGGCGTCCCTGGGAAGCGAGCAGGCCCACCTCCCACCTCCCTGCATCCCACCCCCCCTGCGCTGCCCCATCCCCGTGATGCCGAGGGGCGGTCGCCGCGGTGCCCGCACCGCCCCCGTGTCCCCCGCGCAGCCGCGGCCGCTGCGGGGCCGCTCCGGGGCGGGTCCGCGGGCTGCGAGCAGGGGCTGCCAGAGGGGCTGCGGGGGCTGCGAGCGGCTCTGGGAGCCCCGGCCCTGCCCGGCCCCGCCCGCCCGGCGGCCCCAGCCCGGCGCTGCCGCTGCTGCCCGGCCATGGCGGACCCCGCCGAGTGCAGCATCAAGGTGATGTGCCGCTTCCGACCCCTCAACGAGGCCGAGATCCTGCGCGGGGACAAATTCATCCCCAAATTCAAGGGCGACGAGACCGTGGTCATCGGGGTGAGTCTGCCGCATCCTTCTTCTCCTTCTCCTCCCGCATCCCTCCCTCCCTCCCTCCTTCCCGCATCCCTCCCGCGCGCGGGTGGCGCGGGCATCGCCATCGCCCGCCGGGGGCTCGGTAGCGCTCCCCGCCGTCCCACCGCCCGCGGGGGACTCCCGAACACCCCCACACCTTGTGTTCCCCCACCCCGGCTCATTGTCTGCGCTGCGGCGGAGCGCGGGGGTGGGGTGAGGAGGATGGATGCGCTCCCCTCGCCCCCCCGGCCGGGCTGCCCACTCGGCGAGGGCTCCGGGTCCCCCCGGGGGTCTCCGGGCAGGGCCGGGGGCGCGGGGGCTCGGCGGGCTCGGGCGCTGATGTCATGCCGGGCACTGGGCATGCTCGGCTGGGGCGGCCCCCGCGCTCCGCCGCGCCCCTGCGGCAGCGCCGGCGGCGGAGTCACCCCATCCCCGGGACCCCCAGCCCCGGGATCCTCATCCCCGGGACCCCCATCCCTGGGATGCTCATCCCTGGGGTCCTCATCCCCGATACCCCCATCCTCGGGATGCTCCATCCCCGGGACCCCCATAGCCAGGACCATCATTCCCGGCACCCCCATCCCCGGGGTCCTCATCCCCGACACCCCCATTCCCGGATTCCTCGTCCCCGGGATCCCCATTCCCGGCATCCGCGTCCCTGGATCCTCATTCCCGGGGCTGGGGGAGCGCTCCGTGGCCGCAGCGCATCCCCCCGAGCGGGCGGTGCTGGCGGGTCCCCGCTGAGCATCCCTGGGGGGGGAGGACACACGACCTAAGTTTGGTCACCGCGCCTGGAACGATCGAATTGCCCAAATGGCGAGGGTCCCTCTGCGGCCGCTCTGCCAGCCCCGCGCCCTCCCCGCGCTCTGCAGGGGCTCGCGTGTTCCGAAGGGGTTGATTTAATGGGAACAAAGGGTGCGGGATGTGGCTCCTTCCCCGGGGCTGATTCATCAGCGCTTCCCTTTTCCCTCTGCGGGGCTGGAGCCCCCCAAACGGGTCCCCGGGAGGGGCTGAGCTCAGGAACCTGCCGGTGCTGGTTTTGGAGGGGGGAGGATGGACAGCACCGAGTGCCTGAACTCGAATTTTTGGTTTGCCTTGTCCTTGGTGCTTTATTTCATGTGTCGGTCCTCTGTGGTTAAACCAATAACGTGTTCCGTGCCAGACGATGATAAGGAGATCTTAAAAGTGATTGTCAGTGCAAGATCTGTTAAAATGCTTCTTAAAACCTTGAGTCTGTTAGAAACTCCTCCCGTGAAAGTTGCAAAACAGTCACAAGGGGGAAAAAAAATGAGTCGATCCAGGACATAAACGGTTACCTTGCTTTCTTATTCCTTTATGTCATTTATAGAAATGTTCTCCCTGTAGCCAAATTAATTGTCTTTCTTTGAAGGTTAAAGCTGTACCACCCCCAGCAGCCTGTTAACAATAGAATAATCAAATTGGTTATCAATCTTGGTCAGCAGGGGAGGGCTGGATTTGGCCAGCAAATATCAGGAACGAAAATGTGACTGTAGCACAGTCATTTGGGTGTTTAAAAAAAACACAAATGTCAGCAAATTCCCCTCCCCCTCCCCCCTTAAATAAATAAACCCTCAGACATATTAAAAGCAGATTAAAATACATCTACGGTAAATCCTTTAGCAGGGCTGTGTTTTTAAGAGGAATGGAGTTTGGAATTCTCTTTTCCCAGTTATAATGTATCTTTTTCTATCTAGTCTCTGTTGTCTGTGGAAAACAGTAACTAAGATGCTCTGGAAGAGGTTTTTTGTTTCTTTGCTGACAGGAGAGAAATCCTTTGGTGAAGGGAAAAGGGAAAAATAACAGCAACTGTGAATTTCCTACCATGGAATTTAAAAACCAAACAAACAGAAACAAGAAAAACACGTGTATTTATTGATATAAATATTTATTTTATATTTACGTTCACGTTGGCAGCTTTGAGGGGGGTTATTTGCTATCTTGAAAATCGGAGGCTTGGAGTTCCTTTCCCTTCCCAGGGTCAGGGTTTTAGGAGCACATTTTAATCCCCTCCACCGGTGCAATATGTCCTCAAACCCGGGTTCTGCTTTCCAGAGAGAGGAACCATCCAGCTGGGGCTCTGGGAGGGATTGCTGGGGGTTTGTAGGTGTAGGTGAGCCTGAAAAAAATCTCTCTGTATTCTTTGTCCTCTTTATTTGCAGCACCGAGCGGGTTGGGCTTTGGTGTAACTTGATCCCCAGTGGATTCCACTGCAGTAGGAGTAGGAAAGGCTACTTGTAATTGTCATTTACTGGTTTTAAGGAGCTGCTTCCCTCCAACAAATAATGCCTGGCAGGGCGGGAGGAATACTTATTCTGGTAGAAAGCACTACCAGAGTAAACTTCCTCCTAGAAAAGTAGGGGTTTAGACTTCAAAACCTCTTAGAAATGTTATATAAAGTACAAATAAACCAGAACCAAACACTTTTTTTTTTTTTTTTTTGGGTGTTTTACTATAGCACTTGAAAACACTGCAATGCAGCTTTTATTTTTGAGTCGTATATCGGAAAGAAAAGGGTTCTGTTGAAATTTGAAAAACCCAAACCAAACCACTAACCCCTCCCAGAGGAACTGTGTCATCACCTAAGAAAAAACAAAATAGAAATGATTTAAAAGAAACATTTTTTTCCCTCCTGACTAGTAAGTCTGAATAAATTTACTTCTTCCCAGCAAACAATTGTGGGGAAAATGCCTTTTTTTTTCTTCCTTTTTTTTTTTTTTTTTTTCCTTGAACTTCCACTGTCATCTCCCATTATACTTCCCTGGGGCCATGAGCAGATTTTCCATCAAAAAACTGAAGATTGGATGAGATTTGTGAAATAAGACTGGGTCATAGTGCTGCAAACGAGCAGCAGTGGAGGGAGTTTAACCACTTAGGCGTGAGTTTGCCTTTCAGGCCGTGCCTAAAGCTGCAATGCCTGGGGTTGTGGGGATCAGAGCTCCCTCTCAGGGAATTCCCAGGGCAATGTCACCCCCTTGGAGCTGGGATTTGACCCGGTGTTTGATGTCCTGGCCCCTTCCACCCGTCCCCCGTGTGCTCTGCTCTTGTGACACAGCCAAGCGTGGAACGTTACAAGTCTTGCCTTCGGTTTTCCCTTTGGTTAAATCAGACAGAACCCTCTGTGCTTTGATTCTCCTTGGAAGTTTAAGCTGTGAAAAAGCCTCTCAGATGAATCTCACCTTTAACCAGGGCGGGGAAAGGCGAGGGGGGGGCAAGCCCAGCCCTTTCCTTTTGCGCTCTGCTGCCCAGCAGAGTCCCCAGACTGCAGCTTCATTTTATCTCCATCCCTGCAACCTCAAGGTGACTCTCCCTGGTTGACTGTGCTGGCTGACACACCTAAAAATGTATTTTTTTTTTTTTTCCTAGCTGGCTTCCCCCCTCGTGGGCTCGCTGGCTGTTTGCTGGGGTGAGCAGTGGGGATAACCTGCCGTGGTTTTGTTGTGCTCATCCCTCGTTCCCCCGAGCGCTTCCATTCCCGAGCACCTGCAAAGGAAGGGTGGAGAGAAGCTCAGCACCCCGTGGGATGCTCCCCAGGAGGGTGATTTCTGCTCTGCGTTTACAGGAGAGGATAATCCCAGCCCTGTTGTAAAACATTTAGGAATTAGTTGCGGGGAGAAGGTGTTTTCACCTCCTTTTTCCTTTTTTTTTCTTTGAAGTCTGGACCTACCCCTTCCTTTGCGGGCAGGGCGATTTTTCCAGGCAAAACTCTCCCGTTAGGAAGGAGAGCATCCACAAGGCAGCTCGGGAAGCTGATGTTTGTTCCCAGGAAGGGGGGATAAAGGACTCTTCATCGTGGCTGTCAGCTGCTTTGGGCAGGGAATGTGCAAAGCCCGGCTTAGCAGGAGCTGCTGAGCTCTGCAGTTCCCGGGGTCAGGCACAGGCAGAGCCTTTCCCAGCCCCTCAGTGCCCACCCCGGAGTTGGGGTGGGGGGATTCTGCCCGTGGGAAATCCCAGCAGAGATTTTTGATCCTCCCTGGGAGGATCCCCCAGGATTGAGCTTTGGCCGCTCGGGGGAAATTCTGTTGTCTCATCCGTGAAATATTCCACATAAATAACTAATGTGCCTCGAACCCAACAAACGAGACTCAGCACCTGATACTCTGCCGTGGTCAGCGCTGTTCTGCAGCGTCACATTCCAGGGGAGGAATTCCTGGGCAAGGGCTGAGAGGTGCATTTGATGATCCTCGAGGGTCCCTCCCTGCTCAGAATATTCTGTGAGGGAAAGGAAAACAAAGATTGATGGCTGATCCCTTTGCAGTGGGTGGGGTGGAAGCTGAGCAAGGTTGTGGTTTGTTTTGTTTTGTTTTTTCTTTTGGAATGTCTTGTGGAGAGATTCTTACTTATTTCCATCCTTAAAATAGCTGGGTATGTTTTAGCTTTTCTTTCCTATGTGCCAGTGAAGTCAGCAGAGTTTGTGCTAATAAAAAGCACGTTCCTCATGTGGTTTTAAATCCCTCCTGTACAGAGATCTCTAGTGCTGTTAGGCAGTTGTCACTCTGAGGTTAAGACAGACCTAAAAAAAAAAAAATATATAGAAATATATCCCTGTGACAATAGATAAATGGCTAGTTAAAAAAAAATAAAAATGTAAGAACTACCCTGTGCTGCTGGGCTCTTTTCCCCGGTGCTTTTGACAACAGCCAGGCTTCCATCTCTCCCACAAAATGCACAACCCCTCTGCTTGTGGAGGATTTGTTCGTGGTGGATCTATAAATACCTTTTATCAAAGCCCCTGCTGGCTGGAAGATGGGAAGATGTGACTTGTGTCGTGGTGGAAAAGCTGTTGATGGGTACACGGAGCGCTGTTCTCCCAGCACATCCCTTAGTCTGGGGAGCTGATCCTCGTTTTGTCTCCCAGAATCTGGGCTGTGTTTTCCAGCTCTCCTTTCCCAGGGTGGGGTGCTGAGTGGGTGTTTAGTGAAGGGCTGGTGTGGGACAAGATACCTGGTGGCGTTTCTGTGCGATCC